GGGGGGGGGGGGGGGGGGGGGGGGGGGGGGGGGGGGGGGGGGGGGGGGGGGGGGGGGGGGCGTGAGGATGCTGTTCCGTGTTTTTTCGGTTCGCGCCGTAGGCGTTGGCTAAATAGTGACGTCCGGCCTTTTGTAAACGCAGATACACATACGGGAAAGTTCATTTCCATGTTGACGTGAGCCCGCGGCGAATGAAACATTTGGTCTATTCAGTGCTGCTGAGCTGCAATAGTTCAGCATTGTGGAGAAGCCCCATCCGATACCGTCTGTTTGTGAGAGCGAGGTTGGAGCGGGCGGGGCTTGATGTTATGTTGGAAGGGTTATCGGTCTGCAGGTGGTGCCATGTCTTGTCTCTCGCCTCTGTGCTTACGTACGTATGCGACGAAACGCGCTGTGCTGGGTCTTGGTTGGCATCTCCCGTGGTGGCCGCCCACATTAAAGGTGTGCCTGGTCGCTCCTTTCATGGTAGGTAATGGCTCAAGTTAAAATATGTGGTTCCTCGCGCGACGAGACAACGAGCTACCGTGGTATTACCACGGTAAATAGTATGTGGTTCTTTGCGGTGACGAGACTTGAAAAAAGTCCTGCTTGTCCATGTGGGTCACGATCGACCGCGGTCACCACCTATCTCATCAAAATTCACCTCTCTCCAATCCCCCCCCCACCCCCTTTACGTGTACGAACTCCCCTGCCTCGTTTTTTTCCAAAAGGATGAAGTTCGAAGTGGCCTGGACCACCTTCGTCCCTGCGGAATGGACCGCCGTCTCGAGCGTTGTGCTGGGCTTCTCCGCTAGCACCACGGCCGCCTCGAGCGACGTCACCACTGCCACCACGAACTGGCTCGTCATAACGAACGACCTGGTCTTGTAGACTGCTGCTGCTGCTGCTGCTGCTGCTGCTGCTGCTGCTGCTGCTGTAGACCGAAAAGGAGATTTTACAGTACAACATGTGTGTACGTATGTATATGCATACTTAGCGTCCGTGTTTGGTTTGTGTGTGTGTGTGTGTGTGTGTGTTTTTTTTTGTCGTCGTCGTCTTTTTTTTTCTGTTCCGCCCGCCCACCCGCAAGGCATGCCTGTTTGCCCAACACACACGAACCCAACCCCTTGACGGGGGTGGGAGAACGGTTTGCTTTCCTTGATTTCCCGCAGGGGACCCTCCACGACTCTCTCGCCGTTTGGTCATGCATGAAGAACAACTGCGAGACCTCCCTTGTAGAAGTAGAAAACACCATTTTTTTTTCAATTTCCACGTTTATTTGCTTCCTCTCCCCTTATAGGGGACTGGGTGGAAGAAAGAGGGGCGGGGGGGGGGCACGTGACGTAGCCACGAGACCCTTGAGAGTTTTTTTTTTTTTTCGCATTGGGAGGCATTCTTTATCCGTTTCGTCGGAAAGAGGTAGTTGTCGATTCGGCATATGGTTTATTTCGGGGGGGTTTGCCTGCCGAAAACCACGCCCTACAAGAGATTGTGGTGGGGAACGCGCCCGGCTGTGATATACCAGCTTTCACCTCGGAGCGGTTTTCACAGCCCTGTTTCCACACGACTTACCATTATCTACCAAGGAGCCCGTCCGGTAGCGGTACGGGTACACACCGCGTGTCGTTGAAGAGCCAATCGAAGTCCCCACGAAGGAAAAGAAGACATTAATAGGTGCACGAGTAGCCGCCGATATCGGGTACGGCCTCAGAATCTACGGTCGGGATTCGAAGCAAAATTCCCATTGGAAAGATGTCGGCGTTCCAAACATGGGCACGGCAGTGCGTGGTGGCCTTGGAAGGGTAATTAATTCCCGAGTGTTGCTGGGAGGGGGGGCTTGTTGAACCTTTTCTAGAAAATCAGGACTTTTTTCCTCCGTATACTTGTACCTTGGACGAAATCGATACAAATGTTTGTTTATTGATTTATTTTCGCTCCTCGTGTCTCGGGCAAAGTTTCGTTTTCCGCGCTCCAGATCACTTTGTTTCTCGTTGCATCCTTCTGCTTCCCTCGCGTTTTTTCTTCTTTTTTTGTTGAAGCATCCGTGTTTTTTTGTGCGTTTTGTGCGTTTTGTATCGTAGTTGTTGCGGGTGGCTTTCGTGACTTTCGGATTCGGCCTCACTGCTGCTCCCCTCCCCCCCTTACAGTTTTCTTTTCGTAGGACGGGTGGGTTGGGGCGGAAAGCAACATGTAGACTATCAAACGTGTGTTGTAAGAAAAAAACTATTGGCGGGATCCATCCGAGCAAAACATGTTTGCCCTCTTTGCTTTGTGGCTTTGGCAACAACCAAGGAGAAGAAACGACACAGAACCGAGAGAAAAAAGGAAAAGTCACTCACCCGCGCCACGCCCGTGTTGGCAAGTAAGCAAGTGTGCGTGCGCTGTGTCCATATATTTGTCTCCTGTGATATCTCAAGGGGTGATGTTATTGGTGGGTTTTTTCGATTGGCTCCGTGTTTGAAGGGAGTGTCCTTCACGAAAATAGTCAAGTATTTGTAGGTCAGATCACGGTTGGGTGTGTAGGTATGGTGGCGAGGAAGGTAGATGTTGGTGCTTCTTGCACTGCTATCACGCCGGTTTGTTAGGTGTATACCACGACAAGAATGCTTGCCAAGCAAGCTTGCCGTGGCTTGTTCTGGTCGGTCGGCAGACGGGGGGTCACGACGGGTTGCAATGCGCTCAGGGAGTGAACTGTATGCTAGCGGCGCGTGAAAGAAGCCAAAGGTAAATTGATGAATAAGAATCCTTATTTCATCGATATGCCTTTCTTGGCAAGAAGCACACTCGGCACGTTCGGGGTGGCGTCTGTGTGCCCGCTTATGGATGGACGGGTGGGTGGATGGGTGTTCACACGAAGAGGCGTGTTTGTCCGCTCTTCTTCTTGCCCGCGTGATGATGACGATGAGCGAAAATGGAAGGATGCGGTAGGCACTATTTTTTTTTTGCGTTGGCCAACATTGGGGAAGGGTTGTGCTGGAGCTACCAGCCGTTATACAACCCCCCCTCCTAAGTAGGCGTGGTTTCTTTGGTCTAGGAGGAAGGACCGTAACCGTCCCAGTGCGTGCTGCTTGGGGGAAAGAGACGGGACTGCCGGTCTGTGTGGAATGGAGAATAAGCACTCGATGATCGATCATCGATGATGCTTCCGGTGTAAGAATAGGTTAGGTGAGAGAACCGGTGCATGACGATGAGCGAGTTGGTTGTTTATGTCGGGGGAGGCGGCGGAAAAATCTCCCGCTGACCAAGAACGGACGAGGAGTAGAGAGACTCAACTCATGTGTGCATCTATGCATGCATACATACATCCCACGCACGAGGCGTATGTACGAGGTCGACTGGTTGTGTTTCAATCATCGTTCGGTCCAGAATTATGAGGAGCGACAGAGGGAGAAGAGAGGGCCTCTCTCTCTTTTTAGCGGTTTAGACCATGATGGTGTGGGTCCAAGCAGTATTACAGCAGGCAGTGTAGCGCTCGTGTGCCGTCCTGCGGGTACATACGTAGTTCCCCAAAAAAAGCACGCTCCGTATATATTTATTTTTGGTTACTGGGTTTTGGCTTCGTCTTGTGCCGCCATAGATTGTCTCTGACAGAATACCTTTACGAGACGAAACGTTACTTCTGTGTCTTAAATTGATCTAGGCATTTGGACGCGTGCATTATGCATGCATGCACTCGAACACCTCCGCGGCATACAGACCGAAGTCCTGCGATAGTTGCAGCGAGATGGCTAGATTGTACCGTTTTTTTATGGAGGGTGTTAGTTGAGATCATCCACCAAGACGATGGCCTTTAGAAGGTGGGGGTGCAGTGTAGGGGGGGGGTAGAGTTTTCCGTCGCCGTTGGATGTTGGCGCACGACAGCATGTTGACTTCGTAGCAAATAATTAATAAAAATATCTAACCTGGTATGGCGACCCATCCGAATTAGCATCGACGTTCTGTCGTTGTTTATTCCGCAACAGCGGCGTGTCCCCCACCCGCCGTCCCAGCGGGGGCCTCTTGGAAGCAGCCTACACTGAGTGAGGTTTTACTCTCCAGGGGGTGGAAGACTCCTCCCCCCCTCCCGAAATAACGCAGCAAGGCGGCTGCGTATGGAATGTTGTTTTGCTGCGCGGTAGTTGAAAAACGAACAGAAGTGAGTGGTAAGGGCAGTTGGCTATTGTTGGCCCTTTCTTGTCGTTTTCTCTTGTCAGGGCAGAATCTTCTAACATACACTTCGCAGTTGTTTCCCGTTTGCAAAGGAGGTTCCCTCTATCGCCTCTTTCTCTCGCCCTCTCTTTGCGCGGGGGCGACTGGAGTGAAGTCAACGGAACGGGTAGTCTACTTTGCAATTCCATTCCCACCTCCTTCTGAAGGTTAATTCAAATGAGGACGCTTGTTTCATTTATGATGATGAGATGGCGGCTGGTACCGGAGGGAGCTAAATAGGCAAGAGAGTTACCTAAATAAACCCAAAACGCCGAGACCAATATATCCGTTGGATGGTAGCAATGATTCAAAATGAAGGAGCAGCGTGTGTGTTTGTGTGTGTGTGTGTGACGACAGTGTTACAACGCGACAGAGCGATCGGTATACAGTACTATACGGACGACCGTTATCTGCTGTTCTGCTTGAGTACTGTAGGGTGTGCCCGTCCTACCTATTGAACTCATCGACATGAGGAATAGAAAACACCAAAATATCAAAGTACGATGAGTAGCTCTCTACGGCAGTACATTGTCGTATCGTAATTCGGTACCAGCGGGCCGAGCTGCCAGAAACTTTGCCGCGTTTCCCTCAACGAAGTCCCCGGTTTGGCTGCATGGTGCCGCAGATGGGGCCCGGGAATGCATGTAGTACGTACGTAAAGAGACGCTAGCGTCGGGTCGAGGGTCATTTTTTTTTTTGGCGGGGGGGCGAACACCCACGGTCACACTCCTTATTAGAAGGATGGCTCATGTCATGTTCAATGGGCAGGGAGAGACGCACACAAGCAAGTGCCAAGAGAGTGAAACATTAACATTTCTTTCACAGCACGAGGAATTGTCTATTAGTCTAGACTATACGCAAGGAGAGACAACGACTGGCCACGTAAGATATCAGACACACACTGCTGCATGCTAACGGTTTCATTCCCGCTCACCCAGTCCAACACTCAATACCTTCTTCGCGACTCGATGATAGACTCTCCGTTTCGCCTTGCGCGTGAACACCAAGCAAAGCAAAAACCGACCCTCGGGGGTGGTGAATAATTAGGCACTACACATATATGCACTCATTCTCACTCTCAGAATATCCCCCCCCGCCCCCCACGTTGGGTTCAAAAGTACTTGTCGGTGTTGATGCAAGGTCTTTTCGGGGTCATGGGTGCCCCCCTCCGCCCAACCCTCTGTCTCGCTCTCCCCCCGCCTGCCTATTTTCTGCGCTCCCCCGCCGTGTTTCTGTCCATCCCTCCCTCTCTCTCTCTCTCTCTCTCTCTCTCGCGGTCTTGCCATTCCTGTATCTGGGTTCCACTTCCCTGGCCTCGCTTCCTCCCCCCCCCCCCCCCCCCCCCCCCCCCCCCCCCCCCCCCCCCCCCCCCCCCCCCCCCCCCCCCCCCCCCCCCCCCCNCTGATTGCCAGCAGCAAATAAAAGCGGCGGACGTAAGTCATATGTGGCCGAAGTTCTACCGCAAAACCAAGAACGGCGAACGAGTGAAAAATCGAACATTATTGTGTAAGGGTGCAAGCAACGCTCGGCCTTTTGTCCTGGAAAGGAAGCCGTGACTATCGGCGTACCTCTGCTTGTACTCTCAGCAACCGGTGACGCCTACACTACCAGAGAAAGGCCAAATTATGAACCGACCGAAAAAAATAAGGGAAGGCATTCATCACGAACGGGAAATATTAAGATACTACCGGTGTCGTAGGTCCCTAGCTGGATGTCTACACGTAGCTTTATCACCAGTAACACTATCACAGCCATCGCACCACCATTGTACCACCACCATAACCACCACCATGCCAACCAACCCTAACAATGACAACAACACAAAAAATCGAAACGAACGTCCGTCGTGGCAAGACAAGACAAGACCCCAAGCGGCGCTATCGGTTGGTTCGTCTACACCGAGAGCAGTAGCTCGTCTCCCTTCAAAGCCACTCCCAGACTTGTCCACCAAAGGCACATCTGCCAGGCGGGCAACGCGTGACGATGCCCAACGCACGGAAGGAGGCATGGCACTCCCCCCCCCCTCTTGCTCGCTCGCTCTCCCACCAATGAGCTTGTGCGCCTGCGCCCCCCCCTCCCCCCCTCCTTCCTCCCCACTGTGAACCCCGCCTGGCCACCCGAGACTCCTTGCGGAGGAACCAACATCGATACTCCGCCGCGCACGTCATTCTGTATCGGACAGTGATCTATTTTTCTATCCAACAGGCAACTTGCGGGCACCTAAGTGTCTCCCCCTCTCCTCCTGTAAGCTAGCCATGTGCAGCGAACGTCACGAGCAAGACGCACCACGCATTCGCCTGAGATGCGATCGGCGCGGCCCTAAGGAAGCGCAACAAGAGACGCTTATAGACTTGGTCGCTCGCGATCCTGCTAACTTTCCTTTGGCAGCTGCCGCCGCTGCCGCTGCCGCTGCCACCGCCGCCGCCGCCGCCGTCGCAGCAATAGCAACAACGACAACATTTAATCAATACACGCCACCACGGACGGAAACACAGCGCGCCCCAAACCATAATTCCTGTGGCAAGGTTGTATTGCTAGGAGAGAGAGAGAGAGCAAGAACGCGTCTCTTTCTCTCACTCACTCACTCTCTCTCTCTCTCTCTCGCCTCCTGGAATAAAACAAGGACACCGTCCCGACTCGTGCTGTGTCGCAGAAGACGCCAAGCATTTTTGCCGGAGGCAGGTTGTCCCTTCTCTCCTCATGCCCATCATTCTTGTTTCGCGTACAGCAGAGTATATTGTAGTACGGCGAAATACAAGGAGAGCGAGCCCTCGCGGGAGAGAACGGGGGGGGCGGGGGACATCCCACACGAAAAAAAAAGCCGCATGGATGGGCAAAGACATATACCGCGGGCGCCAAATCACCGCCAGGCGCAGGTGCCAACACAACTTGCTAGGATGTGTTCAACGTAACCACTCTGACATCACGGCGCACGTTTCACGCACACTCCCACTCTCGTCTTGGCACCCCACACAACCCCTCCCCTTGTCCGGCCGGGCCCCAAAGCAGAACACAACAGAACCAAAACGCGTAGTTTTCTCTCGCGTTATGTCGCGTGCCTGTGTAACTGCTGCTTTCGTCGACGGATAGTTATAAGTTTTTGGGTCTCTATTCTGTGTATCTCCTAATGCTGCTATGTGTTGTGTTCTATTGTCATCCGCAGCAATTCCATGCCCCTCCCTCCCCCCTCTGCGTCATTGTCAAGAATGATCATCTTCCCACTTCCTGTCTCCTCGCCTTCGGATCTGCGTCCAGGCTATCAGTTAACACGAACGCACGACCCCGCCCTTAACTACCACCACCACCACACAAAAGCGTCCGGAATGAGGTGGGTATGAAACAGGCCCAAATCACGATCTCGCTCGACAAGCAAGACACCCCGCAACAAAACATGACCTGCGTGAAGAAAAACACGATCTGTTTGGCCGCCTTTCCTTTCACACACCAGGCAAGCGTTGCATATCAGCCGTCGTCGTTGTCCCCCCCCCCTCCCATCAGGCGGTGCCCCCTCCAGAGCTCGAGGGCCCCCTGGAAGGACGGCGTGGCCCTCAGGCCCCTCTTGGAGAACCATCCGCGGACCCCCTCGGCGACGATCTCCGAGCCGGGAACGGCCCGAAGACCGGTGCTCTCGAACGCCTCCTTGGCGCCCTTGGCGTAGAGCGCCGCTGCCTCGCCTCGCGTGAGGGAGCACGGGATGATGAACGCTGTGGGAGCGGGGCAGACGCGGAGACGGGAAGCACCACCGGGGTTTTAGAAATAAGGCACGGGATGATGGAACACCACCATCACCAACAACAACACTTGATACAAACAGCAACAAGACACCGAAAGGAAGGGGGAAAAGAAAGAATGCAACAAATAACACCACCATCACCAACAACTACAAACAACAACAACAACAACAACAACAACAACAACAACAACAACAACAACAACAACAACAACAACAACAACAACAACAACAACAACAACAACAACAACAACAAACAGCCGCGCACCCGCCGTTGGAGCCCCGAAGCTGTTGCCCTGGCGCACCAGCCCCGAGAGCAGGGGCTCTCCCAGGGCCTCCCGGGGCACGTTCGTCTCGTCCACGACTTCCTGGACGGCGCTGTCGAACAGCTCGTCCGCGGCCCGCTGCCCCACCTTTCGGCGGCTCGACACCGTCTTCGTCGATAGGCTCCGGAGGACCTCCGGCGTAAGCCCTAGCTTCTGCGCAACAGGAGGGGGGGCGGAGGCGTTGTTGCGGCAAGGTGGTGGGCGGGGGAGGATTTTGGTCAGGTTGAGATAAGCATACCGATGGTTGTTGGTGTCGAAAAAGCAAAGGGCTTCCCGGCCCCAATGTTAATTGCTTTTCTGTTTTTTGGTTCCATATCCCATAGGGAGACACAAAAAGAAGGGCACTTCTGCTTTCATCATCCTGAGGCAGCGCTCTCGTGCCAAACCCTTCTTGCAGAAGAAGACCCCCCCCCGTACCCCTCTCCGTCCTCTCCATCCCAGTACTACCGACAGCAAACCCGCAATACCTGTCACCCCCCCCCCCCCCCCCCCCCC